TGCTCTAGTCCAATACTACACAGTCTTTCCTTAGATAACATCTTGGCCCCCCAGTGTCTCAATTCCAAATTAAGGGAGAGTCTGTTTGGCCCATACTGAGTCATGTTTCCACCTCTGGTGCTGGAATGAAGGGGTCATATGTACTTTGGGTGGTCCAGACTCGTCTAGGCAGGCTCTCAAGAAGGCGGAGTTGGTAGGAGGCAGTGATTGGCATGGCTGCCATATCCCAGTCAAGGAACAATTCAGCATTGTTTGTATTTGGCTCTGGGTTGCATTAGGGAAAAGGGCCCATTCCTTTTTGGCCTTGTCTTACTCTCCAGCTTTTCCCCGTTGGAATTTTAGGTCTAGACAGTAGAAGGAGGAAGAGGTGCAGGAGTGCTGTAGTCTGTTTGCAAGTCATGAAGAGTTGGTTACTAACACTAATTCAAAACAGGGTTGGTTGCATACATAACCAGTCAATATTTAATTAAAAAAATACTTTCATTCATGCCTTTGAATTAAATTAATGCATTTGAATTTCTCTTTCTAATGCACTTGTTTACTTTTTGAGTTCTTAACATAGACTTAAAAAAATACATATTCATTGTTCAGAGATGCCACTTTTACAGCCAAGAACTTCTGTTGTATGTTGAAGTCTTTGGATGAGAAGGGGACAGCGACAGAACGGCAAGAAGGAGAAGAGGGGTAGGTAAGACCTGAAGGACTCATTGCCCCACTAACTAGCTATGTTACCTTGGTAACTTAGCGTTTTTCTTTTTGGTTTTTTTTTTGTGTGTAAGGGAGATTGGCCCTGAGCTAACATCCATTGACGATCTTCCCCTTTTTTGCTGAGGAAGATTGTCCCTGAGCTAACATCTGTGCCCATCTTCCTCTATTTTGTATATGGGATGCCACCACAGCATGGCTTGATGAGCCCTGCTAGGTCTGTACTCAGGATCTAAACCTGCCAATCCTGGGCTGCCAAAGTGGAGCGTGCGAACTTAACTGCTATGCCACCGGGCTGGCCTGGTAACTTAGTTTTTTGAAACTTGGTTTCTTTGTCTTTAAAATGGGGTAAGAAAAGTATCCATCTCATGATGTTGGTGAGAGGAATCAATGAGATAATGTATTGAAAGGTACTTTTAGGCACTTGGGATGTCCGAATGAACAAAATATACAAAGATCTTGCAAAATGCATGAAGATCTTTCAGTAATTGCTGCCACCCCTCTAATTTATAAATAAAAAAGAGTGGCATCCTGACCTTTCCTTCCAATTCTAAAAAAATTTAAGTTTTTTAGATAGGACCATGCGGCAGACAGGTGCGCTTATTGTCTTGTGAAAATTAGGGTATGTGAGTGCAGGTGTGTGCAAGTCCACGATCAGGAGCCATTCAAAATCCATGAAAATATCAACCTTCTTTGAAAAAGTTCCGTTTTTCAAGGCAAACATTAAGTGAGCTTTGTTTGAGTTAAGGGAATAAATAAAACTTGTGGGAGGCATTTATGAGCTGATATCTTGGCTTTGATGACCCGGGGAAAGACATTCCTCCTTGTACAGGGGGTAACTCATTTTGCTTTTATGAAATCAAAGTTAAAAATCTTAATGGGTTTTAATAACCCCAAATGTCATGTTGAATTTAAGTTTCAGTTAAGTCGGACAGTTTCAGATAACACCTCTTTGTAATTGCTATGGTTTACTCATCTCTTGGGCTATAACATATACCTCAAGACATCAGATCTTCCATTTGTAAAAATTTCACATTTTGCAACCTTTGTGGTGAGAAACAGAAACTTTTAGGGACAGGCTCTTTTAGATGGATGGAAATATTTTTTCCTCAGTGGATCCACACAAGTCATTCCAGCAGCCAAAGGAAGCAATTTCCTTTCTTTGCCTTGGGATTTGAACAATAATATTTTGTATACAATTATTTAACTTAGTTGACCTAAACTTTAATTTATTCTTTGTTTAGCATTTATAGATTGTTATATTATGTGCCCTAAATTCAAGTCATTACAATTTGAAATGGTCCAAAGAATTTAAGGGTATGCTGGTTGAAATTTTCAAGAGAGAATTTAGCCAAGCTAGTACAAAAAAATAATTCCATCGCTTTACCGACAAATCGTATGTATGTCTGTGGGGGCATCAATGTCATATGTAAGATGTTCAAGGAAGATCTGTAATAATAGAAAGTTGCTACTCTTTATCCTACATAGTGTTAGTGAGTAAAACAACCAATTTCATCTTGTGGGGTTAACTTTGGCTTTGGTGTTCTTTAGTTCTTCAAAGAGTGTCTAATTGTTTGAGAAGAGACAGAGCTTAGTAACAAGAGATGCTGATGTTTACATTTCTCTTTCTTCTTCATCTGTTACACAGAACAAGTGATCAACTCCATATTTTCTCATCACACTAAATAATTCCCCAAAATGGCCAATGCTCTTGTTAGTGTAACTGGTCATCATTTTTCTTCTTCACTGAGGTAATCTTCAGACCCCGGGAACAATGAATGTTGCTATGAGGCCCGTCAAGTCCTGCCTGTAGCAGGAATTCAGCAATGACAATGCTTCCACCATTTATCCATGTGCCCGACCACGTGCTTAGGCATTTGAATATGAGGGAGAATAGAAAAGATGTGGGCTACTTCCAAGGGTTATATTAGTTTTCGTTTTTAATGGATTAAAATTATATGGTGGTTTATTTAAAAAACCTGCACATTTCCATCAGTAACGTAAACCACTGCCCTTGTGTGGGAAACTGGCCAGGACTCCCTCAGGCCCAATCTCATCCACAGTTATTCATTGAGAGGGACGGCATAAAAAGTAAGGTTGTTTAAAAATTTTCCATGCCATTCTGAAAACAGGTGCTTCCTTTGTAAGTGCAAGTGAGTGAATTTATGTGGTCATTTCAACCCAATTTAAACCCTCGTTCTAAAGAACAAAGACATTTTCTTTGCCCCGAAGATTGACATTTGCTTACAGGCACTAGGCACTTCCTGTGACCCTGGGTCCCATTCTGCTGGTGCTGTCGGAGAGGTCAAAGGGAAGGCAGCACATTGGTGCACATGGGAGGTGCTCAGAATCTGTGCGTATCAGCACAGAGGCAGGCTGAAGCCTGCTTAGATATTTATCAGGGGCTTTATGGTGTGTCCATTCCAAAAGTGAGCAGTGGGAACCTCTGAGGTCCCTTAGTTCTCAGTAAACGGTCAGTGTTGAAACCTGCTCCCCTGCTCCTTCTGATCTCTCTCTCCTGTCCTTTTCCTTCTGCCTTCTCACTTTCCCTGCCAGCAAGCAGCGCCGGCAACTTCACATCTGACTTCTGGAAGGGAATGAAAGACTTTCTTTCTGTATAGAGAGGTTTCTTTTACACAGAGCTGTCTTTGATGGGGGAGACGTCCCCACAACAGATTTAGAACGTGAAGTATTGGCACCGAGCCAGAGAGGACAGCCATCAATTGTAGTTTGAACGAGGTTTCATCACGTCTTTGTCCTGTCATCTCGTTTTTGGCGGGGAATAGTGGGTGTTCTGTTAAACCGAGAGCGGCTTTGGTCAGTGCGATTGTAATACTTTAAATTCGAGACACCACGTTGACATCCACTACTCTAAGGTATTTGGGTGCTTAACAAAATGTTCTAAAGAGTAGGAATAATGATTCCAAACTGATGCTAAGGAATGCTTTGAATTTATACAGAACTAGAGTTTTACAAGTGGCAAGCTATCTTGCCAACATTTTCTTTGTCTAAACTTTGAGAAAGACAATAAGTGATAGGATTTCTGGAAAATGAGAATGATCTTTCTTGGCAGTTTTTAGATTTCTGGTTGAAAAAAAGGTGATCTGAAGAAAATCTAACAGAACGTAATGTGTTCATTTTGGGTGGCAGGTATAAGGATGTTTGTGTATTGATCTCTACTATTTTTGAAGGTTTTTCAAAAGAAGGGAAAAAAGATAAGGAGAAGAGAAAGGACAGAAGCAAGCAAATGATGGAAGCATGGGCCCATAATAGTGCTTTCTGATGCAAAAAGGCCTGTGTAGGAATTTGGTACTGGGTATGTGGCTTTGGCCAAGTCAACTTCTCTGCCTCGGGTTTTTTTTTTTTTTTTTTTTTTTTTCTTGGTAAGGAAGATTGGTGCTGAGCTAACATCTGTTGCCAATCTTCCTCTTTTTGCTTGAGGAAGCTTGTCCCTGAGCTAACGTCCGTGCCAATCTTCCTCTATTTTGTATATGGGATGCTGCCACAGCATGGCCTGAAGAGCGGTGTGTAGGTCTGTGCCTGGGATCCGAACCTGTGAACCCCGGGCCACCGAAGCAGAGTGTGCAAACTTAACCCCTATGCCACTGGGCCAGCCCCTGCCTCGGTTTTTATAAAATGTCATTTATAAGTGGACATGATAGCCCTTTGTTAAGAGATAATATCTCCTTAAGAGCCAAACACAGTGCCCAGTACATAAAAGATACCTCAACAATCTTCTTTCCCTTTCGTTACCTCTTTAGTGTTGCATTACGAATCTTTAGCTGAATTGAACGCAGACTCTCGTCTGCCTGGTCTTAATATCCGTCTTACTGAATTGTTGTTTGCTTATATGCAGTAATGTCACAGTGACCCCAGGATCCCCTTGCTTTTGTTTCTTCTTACCACGAAAAGGTATTAGGACAGAAAAGGTTATTATTATTATTTTTTAATTTAACCATATTTATGGAGGACCAACTCAGAGCCAGGCTGTATTCTGGGAGCTAAAAGGTACAATGGGAATAAGACGGACCAAGTCACTGCTCCCATGGAGTTTCAGGGGAGGCAGATTATCAAGAACAAGTGTCAGGGGACAATAATGGCATGAAGAAGAGTAAAGTGGCGTCGAGGGATGCGGTGTATCTCTATTAGATAGAATGGACCGCGAATGCTTCTCTAAGGAGCCGCCATCTTGATGTCTGCACAGAGGCAGGGAGCGAGCCTGGTGGAAATCTGGGGAGAGAGCATTCCAGGCAGAGAGAACGAGGCATGTGTTGAAGAACCACAAGAGGCTCATGTGGGAAAGGCAGGCAAGAGCCAGGAATGAGGCCGCAGGCCAAATCACCTGCAGGAGGCCCTGGTTTGGATTTTATTTGGGTGCACTAGGAAGCCACAGTAAGTTGAACCACAAAACTGGCCGCTCTACTACTCTTAAGAGACTTGGTGAGGGATGTTTTGCAGGGAAGATGGAAAATCACAGTGTGTCTGTTCCGTTGATTACCATTCCCATCATAGAATAATTAACTGCTAGCTGTAATTATAGGACTTCCTCTAATTTAGTTTAGCACTCCTGGGACCTCTATTAGCCTATATCCCAATCAATTTCACAGTCATTAAGAGGGAACGTGCCACAGTCCTGTTGAATTTTAAATCTCGTGGGAGAACCATCCACCTATTTGTTTTCGCTCCTCTAGACTGCCTTATTTTCTTTCAGTTCATAAGGTTTACCCCCCTCTGTTCAGGCCCTCTCCTCTGGCATGCTGATTCAGGCTTGTAGCATGGAGTTATGCTAATTAGGATATTCTTTCACAGATAGTTGTTAATGAATTCCATGCATCTCACGTCCTTTTTGTAACCTCTCAAATTCGTATAACAAAAAGTTTCAGCGGACAGCCAAGGGACCGCCAAGGGATCACTGTCCCCTCCGCAAGATAGGTGTTTCAATGTTTATTCTCACGTCTGGCACCTCTTACTAGCCTCATATCCTCTATGTAAGTTCCTTTATGCAGAGAAACGTGACCACATCTGTTTTCTCAGTTGGGTTGAACAATAAGTTCCCCTGTCACAGAAATCACAGAGAAGGTCTTCCTTTTTGCCTCTTTGACATATCGGGTGACTTGCTGTGTTTAGATAACCCCGGCCTCCCAGGGTTCCTCTTGTCCAATTTTCTCCGCTGCTCTTGTGGTGAAAGCCATCCTTGCTGTCACATCACATCACTGCAGGGGTGTGCGCTCCCGGTCCCCAGTGGATGGCTTCTCTGTGGAGGCAAACGGTGATCTTAGTGCTGGTTGTGAGTTCACTAGAAGTAGCCCCTTGAGAAGCAGGGGCTTCTCCAGACAGCTCAGTCTTATTCGTTATGAAATAGTGTCTTTAGCTTGCGGGGAGGAACTAGCATCCCTCCATACCATAGAAGAAACCAAGATTTACGGTCACAGGAGTGAGGGAATGGCTGGCCAGTGCTGGCAGCCAAGTCATCATAAACATGAACCCTGTATCTACTTGTGTGTTCTGGCAAGCCCGTGTGTGTATGTGTGTGTGTAAAAGGATAGATTTTATTTTTTAGAATAGTTTTAGATTCAAAGCAAAACTGAGCAGAAAGCACAGAGAGTTCCCACATACTCCTTGGCCCCCTACCCCTCCAAACCCCCATCCTCTCCCACCATCAGCTTGCCCCCTACCCCCCCAGAGTGGTACAATCCATGAACCCACGTTGACACATCATTATCGCCCAGAGTCTACTTTACATTAGGGTTCACTCTTTGTGTTGTACATTCTGTGAGTTTTGACAAATGTATAATGACATGTATTCAGCAGTATAGTCTCATACAGAATAGTTTCATGGCTCTGAAAATCCTCTGTGCTCCACGTAATTATCCTTCCCTCTGCCCCAACCCCTTGGCAGCCACTGATCTTTTTACTGTCTCTGTAGCTTTGCCTTTTCCAGAATGTCATATAGTTGGAATCATACAGTACGTAGCCTTTTTAGGTTGGCTTCTTTCACTTAGTAATATGCATTTAAAGTTCTTGTATGCCTTTTCATGATTTGATACCTCGTTTCTTTTTAGTGCTGAATAATATCCCATTGTATGATGCACCTTAGTTTCTTTATCCATTTATCTACTGAAGGACGTCTTGGTTGCTTCCAACTGTTGGCAATTATGAATAAAACTGCTATAAACATTCATGTGCAGATGTTTGTGTGAAGTATGAGATATATACATATATATGTATATTTATATATTGTATATATTTAGTGAAGTTTTTTTTCTGATTATGAAAAAACGTGTGCTAAATTGTATAGCATTTGGAAAATATAAAAAAGAAGAAGAAAAATTTAAAAATCCAGTACAAGTCAGTTTATTAACTTAATGTAATAAACCACATGAAATTGGAGCTGTCCTGGAAAATTCAGGACATATGGTTATTATATATTATAACAGTTAGTGGTAAAGACAGGAAAGATTTAGGGCATTCCAAATACTGATTCTGTTTCCATCAAAATTGCTTCCTAAGTGACTCTTTATGATAATCAACATTCAAACAAACACTGCCAGCTTTGCAAAATAGCTAGCTTAGAAGTCTCTTGAACAACTGACCTGCAAGGGGACACTGAAATTCTTCCCTTAAAAAATCCAAATATGCTTTAGCAGTGGCCCTTAGTGCTTGCTGGTGGAGGGGAATCCTATCATCTACATGGAATCCAGTGGTTCAGAGGTACACATATTATATAATGTCTGATGTGACTGCTTTGGATCCAAGGAACATTCATCTCTCCCGGGCATCTTCTGGGTGGACAAGTGGAGGCTGCTGCCGGGGAGGAAGGGCTCCAAAGCAACCTTAGAAGTGCACATAAGTTGACTCTGGCATCCTGTTGCTTTTCATTGTTCTTTTGTGTGTGTGTGTGAGGAAGATTGTCTCTGAGCTAACATCTGTGCCAGTCTTCCTCTATTTTATGTGGGATCCCGCCACAGCGTGGCTTGATGAGCGGTGGTAGGTCCACACTGGGGATCCAAACCCACCAAAGCAGAGTGCGCGAACTTAGCCACTGCGCCACGGGACCAGCCCCTTTCATTGTTCATTTTTAACAAGGCAAACAAACCTAACTCAATTTAAAAATATCTTTTTGTGATTCCTGTGAATGGAAGTACAAGGCTAGCAACTTTTTTTTTGGTCTGTTTAAAATATCCATTGTCTCTTTTTGGTAGAAGAAAGCAGGTCTGAAGCAAGAGTAAAATCAAAGGTTATATAACCTACATCTAAATATATAAAAAGTTGTAAATCAAGCTAACAAATTGTAAAATAAAGCATGTTTTATGCTCCTACCTTGACAAATAAAGTTTCATAATGCCCTGGAAAACTGGATTCAGATTTAGAATGATTAGACTCCTTGGGATACTCCTTGATCCTAGAAGCGAGGGGTGGCCAGCACCCAGCCCATGGTCCATCCTTATCCTCCCACTCCTGGCTCCATCTTGGACCATGCAAGGCCTGGTGAACACTACATGCTACACAAATGAGCTCCCTCTACAATTCCCATAAACAACTGTCCTTGAGCATAAGAGAGTATGTGTCTCCCTCTGTCCTTGGTAGGATAGATCTAAGAAAGTGTCTTATGGAGGGGCTTGGACATACCTGGGTGTGATCTGGAGAGGGGTTGGTTGGCCTCTGTGTGCGTACCTTTGTTTGTCTTCTGTGAAGGGCATGGCTGGTGGAGGGCTAGAGAAGTCCCTCTGATGTGACTGCCCAGGTCAGGGGCCCTTCTTTTCTCCCCTGGGATTAAGGATGATTCTGGAAAAAGGGATCCAGGGTCCTTTGCTACTAGAAATCTTTGAGCTTTAGTTTTGATCTTAAAAAAGTTAGCCATGGGGGCTGGCCTGGTGGTGCAGCAGTTAAGTTCGCACGTTCCGCTTCTCGGTGCCCTGGGATTTGCTGGTTCGGATCCCAGGCGCGGACGTGGGACCACTTGGCAAAAGCCATGCTGTGGTAGGTGTCCCACGTATAAAATAGAGGAAGATGGCCATGGATGTTAGCTCAGGGCCAGTCTTCCTCAGCAAAAAAAGAGGAAGATTGGCAGTAGTTAGCTCAGGGCTGATCTTCCTCAAAAAAAAGAAAAAAGTTAGCCATCACTTTTAACACAACGAAAGTAGAGTGAGAAGCATCCACTTTTAAATGCATTGAAATTCAGCAGCATGCAGCATAAAAGTTTGTGTTTTTAATAGGTCAATATCGTTGTATTCTGGCATAGGTTCATTCAGAAAGCTCTAGGCAGGTCAAAATAGTCAAATATGCAACACATTTACACAAGTTGTTTTTAGTTTTCCAGTTTTCAAGAACCATAATGAAGTTTTGCCAAAAAACTGACTCTCGACCAAGAGTCTTTCATCCCAGGGATTATGGTTTCTTTCTGACTGACGTGATGATTCACCTCCTGGAATCTCCCCTGATGGCATTCTTGATGCTCACAACATCTGTAATTGTGTAGACGTTCCTGTCTTAATTCTTGCTTTGAAGGGGATCCTCATGAGAAGAGCTAATTTCAAAACACAGGAAAAGTCAAACCAAGTTCCAGTTTAAATTGAAAGGGGCGTTTCCAAAGCGTGGGATAGTGGAGGTCTCCTGGGTGCTGATGAATCACCTGTCGTCTTTGGTAACAATCAACACAAAGGTTTTTCAAACTATTTACTAACAAGGCTCTCAAAATGCCTGAGAGAGGTGTGGAAAATGAACAAAGTTGGGGTCCTGAGGGTCTGTTCTCCTGGGGATTTGAGAGTATTAAAGTAACACTTTGTTATTACATCATTAAGTATTTAATCAAGACTGGAAACATTATGTCCATTAATACTATGGACATATGTCCATAATGTCCAATAATAATATATCCAGAGAGGTGGGTGCTAAGGATGAGTAAGTATGACTTCCTCCAAAATTCAGAGTGCTCACTCACATGTTCTAAGGTCTTTGTGCTCTCTAAAAAATTTTTCTATTAAGATTTAGAAAAACATCTGTTAAGATGTGGAAGTTCATACAGAAAACTGATACATTCCAAGGTTTTTTCCCACCACGGGAAATATTCCTGATCACCAAGTGTAATGAAATAAATTTGTCATGTTGGATGTAATACGTGGTGGAGGGCAGAATGAAGAGCCCGAAACTTGGAGTGGAGGCTTGACATTTATAGTTATTAATATGTACTTTAGGAATTGATTTATAAAGAAGAATACCAGTGCTAAAATAGATAAATTGAAGCTTGTTCTCACTAAGTAGGTTAGACAGTTCATCAAATATTGGTTAAAATCTCTTTCTCGGAAGGTCGAAAAATAAGAGATTAAATGTCAGCCTCCAAGGCAGGGGACTTTGATAGTCTAGGCGATGGGTGAGTTCAGATAAATATAAAATGCAATTGGACACTGTGTCTGCCTTGTGCTGAGTGCATGGGTCAGCCACCTGGGGCCCAAGGACCAACTTCGGTCTGCTGGCTCTTTTGCTAAGAGTGGGTTTTATGTTTTTAAATGGTTGAAAAGAATTGTAAGTAGTAATACTTTGTGATAAGAGAAAACCATATGAAATTCAGATTTCAGTGGCCATGACTAAAGTTTTATTGGAATGCAGCTGCGTCCCTTCCTTCATGTATTGCCGATGGCTGCTTTCACGCTACAGTGGCAGAGTTGAGTAGGTGCGACAGTGACCATATGGCCCGGAAAGCCTAAAATATTTACTATCTGTTCCTTTGCAGAAAAAAAAAAAACTTTCAGAAAAAATTTGCTGAACCCTGGCTTAGAGGAACCAGAGTGAGATGCTGCTGGCAGCTGGTGCCCACTTTCCGTCCCTCTGTCCTACCTTATCTTCACGTTCCTCTGTCTTACCTTAAGTTTGGGTTTAACGATAATGAGAGGTAACACTTATGTAGGGCTTACTATTTTCCAATTGTTTGATTTATTTAATCCATAATAATTCTATGATGTAGATACAACTATTATGCCCATTTTACGGATAAGGAAACTGAGGCAAAGGGAACAGAGGCAACTACACAAGTCAACCATAGAAATGGGAGTCAGCCTCAGGCAGCCTGGCACTCTGTGCTTGCTCTTGACCACTCCGTCCCCTGCCTCTTGGAGATCAGTGTCAGTCATTTGTGTACCTCTTGATTAGATTTGCCGTATTCACATGACAGATGTGGATGTGAATGTGTGTGTGTTAAGTTCCTTCACTTAGTCCTGAAATCGTGGGTTTGATGTGCTAACACATTTTTAGTACACGTTGAAAGATAGTTATAACTGTAAAGATTGCACGTGGTTTCCCACATATCACTGAAGATGGTTTCTTGTTTCCATCATTGTGTAGTGTGTCTCTCTGCCCCGTTGGGTGTGCTCACAGCTCTTGATCCACTTATGGGGCTTTTGTTGACTCTGATTTTTAAATTTAAAGCAAACTCAAACTGTACAGTCCTGAAGTACAAAAGAACATCTACAATAATTCAAGGAAGTTGCATTTTTTAAAAAAATTTAGGCATCTTCCCCTTTTGATCTTTGACACATTTAAATTTGATGATGTGTTTGTTTGCTTACTTTTATTTCCAAAGCTCCTTCGGATGTCATGTATTTCCTTGCGTATCGTAATTATTTGGTCGTTCATTCAGCTCAGACTTTCTGTGTGCCCAGGGCCGTGCTGGGCACCTGGGGCACATCTGTGCACACAACAGGATACATGGCCCAGAGCGAGTTAAAGAATATGGTCATCCGCCAGCAGATGTCTTCACATGCTTTACTTAGATTTTAGCAATTTGTATCGCTCCTTAGGTGTTCAACTGCATGTGCTAATTTTGAATCAGCGGGTCCCAACAGCTAGAGGAGCAGCTGTCAGATCAGGAAACCTGTCCTTTGGCCCAGATTGTTCTGATTATTGGTGGCATAACCTTGGAAACATTGTTTCATTTTCCATTCTAGATTTTCATTCTGGAAAGTGGAAAATACCAGCATATTAAGCAGGTCTTAACAAAATCAAGTGCCCCAAATGTTGTAATGAGCTCTGCTTTTATGGTTCTCTTGCCTTCCTTGTTTACATGGGCCCGGCTTGTTGGTATGTAACTTTATCATGTGGATACAATTGATGCAGATACATACACACAACCTGATACATACGGGCTGAAGTAGATGCAAGAACTGTTGTTTCCCTAGGCGTGCCTGGAACTGCCAGCGGAAAGGACAACCTGGACTCGGAAAGGGTCCAGCGTGGACAAGGCCAGGGTCAGTTTGGGGAATCTAAAAGCGCATTTGGAGCTTGTTGGTGAGGCAGAGTGAGTAGACTGTAGATGTATGAAGAGGTGCCAGGACAGGATTCATCCTGCTAAGGTTTGAGTCCCATATAGCCCAGGGTCAGGCACGTAACAGGTGTCCTCTAACCATCCTTCTGCCCAGTCTTTGTAGCGCTCAGTGGTCCATGGCCCTTAGGGAATGACTGTGCGTTTTGATCGAGAGGGCTAGGATTAAAACATCTTATTCTAAGTTTATAAAAATGATGATTATGTTCTGCACTTTTTTGAGATGTTTATGATAATGAGAAATATGGTTTAAACATACAGTACACTCTAATAGTTCACCAAGGTGAAAATGGTTATTTTTTCCATATTGAAGACATAGAAGCATAATTCTTAAACCAAAAATGTTGCATGCATAGCTATTTTACATTATTTTGCATCAAAAACTTTTATTAATTTTTTAGTTTATTTGCTGTGTGTTTTTGTAGCAAAGACCTTAACTTTTTATTTATTTCCCCCAGCTTTATTGAGTTATAAATGACAAATAAGAATAGTATATATTTAAGATATACAACATGATGTTTTGCTATATGTTACACTGCAAAATGATCACCATGTCAAGCTAATTAACATACCAACCACCTTACATAGTTCCCTTTTTCTTTTGATAGTGAGTATACTTAAGATCTGTTCTCAATAAATTTCAAGTATACAATACAGTCACGCGTTGCTTAATGATGAGGATCTGTTCTGAGAAATGCTTTGTTAGGCGATTTTGCTGTTGTGCCAACATCAGAGTGTACTTACACAGACCGAACGGGACAGCCTACTGCACAGCTAGGCTGTATGGCACTAAGCTTATGGGACCGCTGCTGCATATGTGGTCTGTCTCGACTGAAACATCATTGTGTGGTGCCTGACTGTACAGTATTATTAAGCATGGTCACCATGCTGTATATTAGATCTCTAGATCTTATTCATATTGTGTTACTGAAACTTTGTACTTTTTGACCACCATCTCCCCATTTTCCCCACTCCCAGCTCCTGGCAACCATCATTCTATTCTCTGCTTTTACAAATTATACTGTAACTACATCATGTAAGTGAGATAATACAGTTTTTGTGTTTCTTTTTTATTTTTTTGAGGAAGATTAGCCCTGAGCTAACTACTGCCAGTCCTTCTCTTTTTTGCTGAGGAAGCCTGGCCCTGAGCTAACACTCATGCCCATCTTCCTCTACTTTATATGTGGGACGCCTACCACATCATGGCGTGCCAAGTGGTGCCATGTCCGCACCTGGGATCCGAACCGGCAAACCCCGGGCTGCCGAGAAGCAGAACGTGCGAACTTAACTGCTGCACCACCGGGCTGGCACCAGTATTTGTATTTCTTTGTCTGACTTATTTCATTTAGCAAATGGTATCCTCCAGGTTCATCCATGTTATTGCAAATGGCAAGATTTTCTTCTTTTTCAAGACTGAATGCTAGTCCATTATATATATCTTATATATATTATATATATATCACATTTTCTTTATCCATTCATCTGTCTGTGGATCCTTAGGTTGTTCCGTATCTTGGCTATTTTGCATAATGCTGCAGTGAACATGGGAGTGCAGATATATCTTTGAGATCCAGATTTCATTTCCTGTGGATATATACCAGAAGCGGGATTG